GGAAAATTGTGTCGGGTCGTTTTAATAAAGCAACGCAAAGAGACCCAAAACGAGCGTTGGGGAACAAAGGGGTGTTTTCCATTGTTACCCAGGCCTAATAGCTAGTCTGTTTTGTACAGGGATAATGTTCTCAGTCTCCTGACCACTAGATAAATATGTTATGCTGAAGTCATTAAATTATGAAGAGAAAAGTGGAAAACCATAGTGACATCAACAATATAGGCAAGAAACCTAGAATTTTGGCCTCCCATAGGTTACATGAGTAACTCATGTAACCTCTGGCTGCGTCCTTCAGTCTTAGGCCTCTTACACTGCCATATAAAATCCAGATTATCTGCTTTGAACTGGATTATATGGCAGTGCAGACTCATATTATTCAGTACAAAACAGATAATGAGGATTCTCTGATTTGATGATCTGGATTATATGGCAGTGTACACCATCATTCTTTATAGGATCCATTGTACCCACACAACACTCCTGTCACATAGACCACTATTTCCGGCTTGAACAATCTGTTCATTTGTGCTGGATGTTTTCATATATTAAATTAAATTAATATACCATTTTAAAGGCCCCCTGATGGTGCAGCAGGTTAAACCACTGAGCTGCTGAACTTGCTGACTGAAAGGTTGGCGGTTCAAATCCAGAAAGTGGGGTGTGCTCCCGCTATTAGACCCAACTTCTGCCAACTCAGCAGTTCAAAAACATGCAAATCTTAGATCAATAGGTGCCGCTTTTGCGGGAAGGTAACAATACTTCATGAAGTTATGCTGGTCACATGACCTTGGAGGTGTCTGTGAACAATGCTGGCTCTTTGGCTTAGAACTGGAGGTGAGCCCCTTCCCCAAGTTGGACATGACTAAACTTAATGTCAGGGGAAACTTTTACCTTTTTAAAGCCTTTTTTAGAAACAGGAAAATAATGTTTTAAAAATAGTATTAAATTGATATAAAGACTGGCATTAAACCTCATGTTCTGGAAAAGAAAGGAAGGAAAGTACCGATATTCTTCATTTTGGGGGTGAGTGGGCGAGTTTCGCCCTTATTAAAACTTTGTCAGCCTTTTTCAACTATTCATACTTTAAAAGCTAATACTAAACCTAGTATGTGGTAACAGTAGGTTCTGAAGCTTTTAATACATTTAGATATATTTTTTCAGGAAGAAAACACTGTTGTATAGTCAAATTTGGAATCTCTAGTGATTATTTAGTCCTGAATGTTGCACATTTTTAGATTCAGGGAATTAACATAAGTATATTTTATCTATTTGGTTCCTTATATTTTATCTATTGAGTTCTGAATGATTTTTCTGAAGTTTCATATTGTTTATAGAATATACGTTATTTCTATCCAGTACATTGTACAGATAATATAACAATATTTTCCCATGGAGTTGTTCTATTACTGCAGTATGCCAGAGATTTATTCTTTGCACTGGTCTGTAGAAGAAACCCTTAAGAGAATTTTTAGATAATTGAATATCATTACACTCCTTACTATTTCTATGTGAATTAAAAGGCAACATTGTTCACAGCCATGAATAGTTGCCTCGCTGTTTGAAATTTTTCACATAATTTTAAATCAGTCTTGTTGAATAAAAATGTTTTGAAACATGATCCATGTGCATCTAGGTTTCTTAATGTCATGTTCTGACCTGTCTTCCTACTCTGAACATCTGTCTTCCTCATCACTGCTTTGGCATATGACTTATTTTCTTTTTTAATTATTAAGTACTTTTTTTTCTTTCTCCTTCTCACTCTTCATTTGGACGACAGTTCTCCAATACAGTTATTGTTATAGGCTGTGCTAGGAATAGTGTTTAAAATACAACTTGAAAACCTTATAGACCCCCCCCCTTTGAAAGTAGATACATAAGTATAAGATACATAAGATACATAAGATACATAAGTATAAGTAGAGACATCAGAATGGCAACAAAGATCTGCCTAGTCAAAGCCATGGTATTCCCTGTAGTAACCTACGGATGTGAGAGCTGGACCTTAGGGAAGGCTGAGCGAAGGAAGATTGATGCTTTTGAGCTGTGGTGTTGGAGGAAAGTTCTGAGAGTGCCTTGGACTGCGAGAAGATCCAACCAGTCCATCCTCCAGGAAATAAAGCCCGACTGCTCACTGGAGGGAAAGATACTAGAGACAAAGTTGAAGTACTTTGGCCACATCATGAGGAGACAGGAAAGCCTAGAGAAAACAATTATGCTGGGGAAAGTGGAAGGCAAAAGGAAGAGGGGCCGACCAAGGGCAAGATGGATGGATGGCATCCTTGAAGTGACTGGACTGACCTTGAGGGAGCTGGGGGTGGTAACGGCCGACAGGGAGCTCTGGCGTGGGCTGGTCCATGAGGTCACGAAGAGTCGGAGACGACTGAACGAATGAACAACAACAACAACATAAGTATAAATTTAAAAAGCTAACATTTTAAATGAGTACATTTTTTTCAAAGGTGCCTATACAATGTAATGTCTTTCTTTTTGTTGTTGATTCTGTTGACAGGATCAATATTCTTACTTATTTAGTGGAATCTAAGACATTAACAAGTTTAAGATGCTCTAATGTAATATTGTTTTCCATTTTTGTTGCTGATCCTGTTGAAAGAATAACCTTCTTTTACTTATTTTCTGGAATCTTCAAAATTAGCAAATAAACGTTGTAACGGAATAGTTTATTTCTATAGTATGTATTCCTGTAGAATAGTATTATATTCTGAAACATTGATGTATTAATACTTTTACATAAAAATGTCAAAATTCTGAAAATTTTAAATGATTTTTAAAAAATCAACCATTTGATTAGACTGTTTCCATTGCAATCCTATATATAATTCATGTGTGTTAAACTGCTGATTATTATTATAATCTACAACCCCTTTGCTTATAGTGTGAGCCTGGGATGAGTGGATTAAGGATTTAGAACTAGTGGTGATTAGGTTAACATCATGTGCACAAACACATCATTAAACAGTTTAGAAGAAGGAAATCGATACAGATTTTCATTTCAGCACAGAGTTTGTTAGGCCATGCTAGTCTTCTTATGGCCTCATTACAATTAGTAATTTGTGGTTTCCTGTCTTTTTCAGAGACATGTAACAAAGCAAATTCTCAACTAGTGGTGCATTGTAAATGTAACTAATATTAATGTGGAACAATTATGTTAGAATCATGCTAGTTCTGACAGAAGTATTGTAGTGAATGAAACTGGATTTCAGTCCACTATGGCTGAAAGCTATAAATTTATAGCACAGACAGGGGAATCGTACATGTTTGTCTTCAGAAATAAATCTTACTAGGTCAGTGAGTCTTTAAGCTCCTAGGTAACTGGGTAGAATTACAGTTTAAATTAGAACAAAAGACAGTTATTTCTTTACTGAAAGAATTTAACAAGCATTTAACATTTGCTTATAGAACAGATGCACCAGAATATAATCAGTGTCTCAAATTGACTTCACACTGAACTTAAAGTATATTTAATATCCTATTTTCAGCACATATGCAACATTGAATCTCCTAAATTATGATCATGTTATAATTTTTTTCTTTTGGATTCTTAGGAAGGCACATCCCTGGTTCTTCTACTTCAACTACCAAGCTTGCAAACTTTGTGTTTTGTCTGTCTGTTTGTTTGTTTTGTTAAAAATGTAATACAACTGTCTGGTTGCTCCTGACACAATAAATAAAGAAATAAATAAATACTTCTATAGTGCTAAGGAAGGAGTGGACACAGTGCCATCTGCATATAACTTTGGATTATTTGTGCATTCTCCTGTGCCACATTTTTTTCTGCAATAAAAATAAAACAAACATGAAAAAATATGCTGATCCTGAAAGTCTCCAGAATAAAACAACAGAGTTTTCTTTTACTGTCTACAAATGTATGTGAAATTGCCTGGATCCCCACCCCACAGAAACTAGAAGTTGAAAGAAGATAGAAAGCACGAGGGATTGTGGCCCATTGTGCCCCTAGGGAAGAAAATCCCCCCCCCCCCGCACCACAAGGATACCACCTGTTCTTCTGTCTCCATGTGACTACATGGAAAAATCTGTGTTTGCCATGTCCATGTTTCATTACAATAACATTAATCCCTAGGAGATACCTTTTGTGATGGTGTTTGTTCATTATTTTTGCATAGACTCCCAACAGGGAGCTCAGTGATAACTTCAGCATGCCAGGCCTCTGTAATCACTGTCAGAGTTGCAGCTTGTCATCCCATCTCCCTTCCCCAAGAAAAGGTTTTCTTCTCTTCAAAAGAGAGAAAGTGCAGGTGACTAGTAGCAACAGCATGAGAGCAAATCTAAACCAGGACCTCCTTGACATCATGCGGACCTCAATTGTACGTTGTCTAATTCAGGCAGTGGTAAGTGCATTGTCCAACACCAGCCCTTCTAGTACTTAGGATATCCATATTAATAGTTTACAACTATTTTCTTTCTATATATACCAATGCATAAATATTGCTCAGTTTAGGCTTTCATAATGAACGTGAGGAGGAAAGTTGTGCTAGTCCCAACTCCTTTACTTATTAATGAAGGAGAGGGACTTAGCATGCACATCTTATGAATGCCTGAATGGGCTTCATCTGTATTCATTTATTTGTGATTAGATAGCTTGATACGTATACATATATCTTATGCCACTTTCATGCTTCTCAGGTTATATAATTTAATGTAATGCAAAATAGATGTTGATGGATACATACTTTTATTTAATTGCCTGGTCTGAGTGCCTTGCTGGAGTTCTCATGGTACAAACAGTGTGTGATGGTTTTATGATGTTGTTTGTTATCTGAGTTTATATCTATCTATCTAGCTATCTATCTATCTATCTGAATGATTTTTGTGTAATTGCTATTCATTACAACATGCCACAATATTGATTTGAAAAATCAATTTTTTTTCATGCCTGCAGTACACTGAGGGGCACTTATGTAAATTTCATTGTACACATATACATAATATTGTATCCCTCTTAATGTCCCCCCCCCCTTTAGGTCTTGATGATTGCCTGCAGCAATATATCAAGAATTTTGAAAGAGAGAAGATTGGTGGGGACCAGCTACTACGCATAACTCACCAAGAATTGGAAGATCTGGGGGTTACTCGAATTGGCCATCAAGAACTTATTTTGGAAGCAGTTGACTTACTCTGTGCACTGGTAAATATCTGCGGGATACATGGGAGGAATTGGGAATGCTTCTTACCTAAAATACAGGAATTATATTACCACATGTCATGACCTCCTTTCCTGGTGTGGGGAACCATGAAAGTAGAACATGCCTTGGTTGTTAGCACACCTGAAGCAAGAAAAAGGGGAGAGCTGACCAGGACTGGTAGTATCCATGGAAATGGGGCAGGCACGATGAAGGGGAGAGCTAGGTTGAGGGATATGAGGAGGTGAGAGGGGACAAACTCTCAGATGGGACTTTGCAACTGCATTGTATGCTTCAGGAAATAAAAGGAAATTTAGCTTTCCAGCCTGTCTGTGAACTGATTTTGTTTCTAGAGAACTGCAGGGCAGGACAACCACATCAAATTTATCCATAAAAATGAAAACAAGCTCATTTGGAATGCAAATAGCAGCTGAAAATTCAAAACATTTTATGCATGGATACATACAATTCAGTTTAGCCTTACTGCAATAAAATGTTTTTCATCAAACTAGAAATTACTATTTTCCTTCTAAGATAGTTTTGTACAAATCAGCAAGTGGCAAGTGATTTTATAAATTTCATGCTTTCCTTTTGCTGCTGCAAGCAAGTAGCTTCTAATTTTCATGCAACTTAAAAACCTGCTGTGGCGCTGGAGTTTGGTTACACAGAGGAATGTAGCCTGAGAGTGAGGATAAAGTTCAACTTCTTGAGACGCTAAACCAGTAGTTCTCAACCTGTGGGTCCCCAGGTGTTTTGTCCTAAAGCTCCCAGAAATCCCAGCCAGTTTTTCAGTTGTTAGGATTTCTGGGAGTTCAAGGTCAAACATCTGGGGACCCACAGGTTGGGAACCACTGCACTAGACAAATGAAGTACAGTATTGGATCCAAATGAAGTACACCATTGGCTCAATCTTCAATATGACCTCCTTTCCAGTATTTAACATGGCTCACATGTCCCTTCTCAAACCATTGGATCTGGATCCTAGGGTTCATGGATGAAGCAGATTATCTAGATCCATTTCATTCTGGTTTCAGGTTTGGTTGCCTTAGTGGATGACCTGTGCAGAGAACTGCACAGCGGGAATTGTCCTTGTTGGTTCTCCTGGGCCTTTCAGTGGCTTTTTTTTACCATTGACCATGGTACCCTTCTGGATCACCTTTCTGGAATGAGGCTTGGAGGTACTGTTCTTCAGTAGCTCCATTCCTTCTTGGAGGGATCTCCTCAGAATTTGGTGTTGGGATATAAATAAATATGATTGTCATTATCATTATCATTTGCTCTTCATCTACTTACATTTCCACATATTTCTTTTCATTATAGACAAAGTGGAAACTTCAAAGTATGTATTGTCGAAGGCTTTCATGGCTGGAATCACTAGGTTCTTGTGGGTTTTTTCGGGCTATAGAGCCATGTTCTAGGGGCATTTCTCCTGACGTTTCGCCTGCATCTATGGCAAGCATCCTCAGAGGTAGTGAGGTCTGTTGGAATTAGGACAATGGGTTTATATATCTGTGGAATGGCTGGGGTGGGGCAAGGAGCTCTTCCCTGCTGCAGCTAGGTGTGAATGTTTAGCTGATCACCTTCATTAGCATTTGAAGGCCTGCCTGAGCCTGGGAAAATCTGTTGCTGGGAGGTGTTAATCTGTGCCTGGTTTTTTCCTCTCTGTTGTTTAGCTGTTATAATTTTAGAGTTTTTTAATACTGGTAGCCAGATTTTGTTCTTTTTCATGTCTACCGTATACCATGCAGCTGTGGGCAAGTCTACATAGGGACCACCAAACGCAGCGCCCAGACACGCATCAAGGAACATGAAAAGCACTGCAGACTAAGTCAGCCATAGCAGAGCACCTGATGAACCAACCTGGGCACAGCATATTATTTGAGAACACAGAAATGCTGGACCACTCCAACAACCACCATGTCAGACTACACAGAGAAGCCATTGAAATCCACAAGCATGTGGACAATTTCAACAGAAAGGAAGAAACCACGAAAATGAACAAAATCTGGCTACCAGTATTAAAAACTCAAAAATTATAACAGCTAAACAACAGAGAGGAAAAAACCAGGCACATCTTAACACCTCTCAAAAGAAATTTTCCCAGGCTCAGGCAGGCCTTCAAATGCTAATGAAGGTGATCAGCTGAAACATTCACACCTAACTGCAGCAGGGAAGAGCTCCTTGCCCCACCCCAGCCATTCCACAGATATATAAACCCCTTTTTCCTAATTCCAACAGACCTCACTACCTCTGAGGATGCTTGCCATAGATGCAGGCGAAACGTCAGGAGACAATGCCTCTAGAACATGGCTCTATAGCCCGAAAAAACCCACAAGAACCTAGCTTCAAAGTATGGTTAACATGTAACCAATACATTTGTACTTATAAAAATCTATTGGTTTTATAGTGTATTTTAAAATGCATCCAATAAACAACAGTTTTATTTTAATAACTGCTTCAGGTTTAAAGGATCCAAAAGCTTTTGCCACTGGGAATAAGAGAGGACTTTTCTCCTCCACAGTTAGTAGGTGCATTTTAGATGACATGAGGTTAGAGATTTAAAGAGCTGTTATATAGTTTTACTAGGTTTTCCATTCTCCTTAGCATATGGCATGCTACCATGATAGCAAGACCTTTTAATGATATAGCCTCTGGTAGCTTTTGTTTTTAACTGGCTCCAGATTCCTCCATTCTCTGCAGTCTGTGGGAGGAGAAAACCTTCCCCATTGTTATAAATACCAATTCAAGAAATAAACTGACATGGAAAAAGTAGAGAAGTAAATAAATTTGCTTCAAGGTGGATAATTTTCAAATGTTCATGGGAATGATAGAATTAAGATATCAGAAGATGCAGAACTGTTGGTAGTGATAGCTCTTAAATTTGATAAACCGTTCATTTTTTTACCTCCTCAGTTACTTTTCTGAAAATGGGTTTTTAAAGTAGTTTCTGCTTGACAATGTAGAACAGGCTAAAATTCAGAATACATAGGGAATTAATTTTGTTTTCTATAACATTCGTGGCTTTCCCTGATTCAGCTTGTTGCTTGCTCTCATAAATAAAGTGATGCTTGATTTATGAGAGTTCAGCAGTTGTAGCTCAGTTCCCCACAAAAAAACAAAGTAAAAGTAAATTGAATTAGTAGAGTTGTAATTATTGTCTGAATAAACTCTACTTCTATGTTAGTGTGCCTAATTTTATGAACATTTCTAGTAATACACAATGTATTGTAATGATCCCAAACTTAAAAAGTAGGAGGGAGGAAACCCAAGTACTGCATTTTTTTTCCATTTCTCCCCAAATTTCCCCATGCTTTTAATCTTTGGAAAGTTAATACCTCTTCATGACAAATCATACTCATTTTCATGTATTAACTGGATACATAAGTAATAAAATCACATACATAAAAAGAAGGAGCTTATGTAGAGAATTTATGGGCCTAATCACACTAGAGAATGAATCCACTTTAAATCCGGTTTCTGCCACCTGCAGAATTCTGGGGTTTGTAGTTTAGGGAGGAGCTTTTAACAGCCTCACTAAACTACAAACCCCAGAATTCTGCAAGAGTCAGAAACCAGATTTAAAGTCAATTCTTTCTCTGGTGTGATAAAGTGGAATGTCTGTTAACCAATTGCATAAAACTAGAAGAATTTATCTTCACATGGAATATGAAAATGTTTTCGTTTTTTGCTCAATGAAATGCTCATATCTTATATAAAAGCCAATCTAAAATATAGATTAATTTCTGCTTTTGCTTAGTCTATGTAGATTTTCCTTTCTGCAAAACAGGGACAGTTTATAACAAGTATGAGCATTCACATGTTAACTACTACATATGATTGGACTTTAAAGCATCCTTGTTCTTTCAGTGCTTTCTGTAAAGATGAAGAAATAACTTTCCCTCATTTTCTTTTACATGCAGAACTATGGGTTGGAAACAGAAAACCTAAAAACGCTTTCTCACAAATTAAATGCATCTGCCAAAAATCTTCAGAACTTTATCACAGGGAGGAGGAGGAGTGGTCACTATGATGGCAGGTCGAGCAGAAAATTACCAAATGATTTCCTTACCTCAGTGGTGGATCTGATTGGAGCAGCAAAAAGTCTTCTGGCTTGGCTGGACAGGTAAACCATTTTAAAAGTTTCATGGATGATGGCCTGTAATGCATACATATGTACATACTGTACAATTTGTTACAACTTGTACCATAATTTTACTTTCAAGATAAATTAATTATCTTAAAAGCAATTAGTTATAATATTGATTGAGATCATGGGTAGGTTGAACAGATTGACAAAGTTCAGCTTTCTAGGTTTTAATGGATCGTAGTTCCATGAGCTCTGGAACTACAGTGATGATAAATGCTGGGCCTTATAGTCCAACAGTATTTGGAAAGCTATCAGCATTGTTCAGAGGTAAATCACAGTATAAGTGTGGTAAATGTTTGAAAAGAGTTTTCTGAATTGAGAAGATTTACTCCCCAAACAAGCTGCGTAGATGACTCCTAGGTTCTATCCCACTTGACACAGCATAACTTCTTATCTAGGACTTGGTTTTCTCTGAGATTTATAGCTTGCAGAATTTTAGTGCTGAACCCAAAGTACGGAAGTGACAAGAGAATATTTTGTTAGCAATGCTTCACATCCCATCTTTATGGATGAGAAGATAGCCTTGCAAGCTGGAGGTTTCCTTTGTATCTGAGGTTTGTTGTGAACAGAGCAAGAGTTGAAACTTTTAAAGAAATATTTTTTAAAAACCCTTCAGGTGAAAAGCTTTGAGCAAGCTAAATTTAGGCCTCTTTAAAGTGGCATTAGTGTACAAAAGAGCTTAAAATAGTCTTGTTCAGAATTTCACTCCACATGATCTCTTCTGTGGCCTTCTTCTATAATGCCATTTTGTATTTACAGAAAATCACTCACAGGAGCAGAAGAACCAAAAGCATTAAAGTGCCCCAAGTTCTGTGAAAGACACATTTCCCGCTCTTTGCCCTGCTTTATAGTAGTGCAGGCTAAAATGCTAAAAGGGAAAACAACAAAAGCATTTTGAAATATAGGCCACTACAGAGATTTAAAGTGCTTAGCAGTGATTTAAATGGTCATAGCAAACCATAATGGAGCAGAATTATCATCAGTGGGACATGTAAAAGTGCACAGACAGTATATTTGAATAAGAAACATAAGTTGGTAAATGTGTTTTACGTGCTGCCAGTTTTAATCTAAGGTAAAATTGCCTTTTAAAACATAATGCAAATATAACCAGTAATATTATAAATAGAGGACTAAACATAATGAAATGTGATATCAGGATATTTTCATAATATCTAAACATTGTTTTGGGGTTAATAGGAAGGTGGAAAATGAGTAATTTTAGTGGTTTCTGGTCAGATCAGGGTTTCCTGATTTGTTTGTTGGTATGGTTGCTTTATCATTGGAAGAATGATTCACTGGAAAAAACAATGGTCAGGCAGAAGGCAGCAAGAAAAGAGAAAGACCACATTACAGATGGGTAGATTCAATTAAGAAAGTCATGGCTCTCAGTTTGTAAGACCTGAGCAGGGCTGTTGAGAACAGGAGAAAATGTCCCTGTGGTAGGGTCGCAAAAGATGAACCTGTGCATGACAGATTATCTTATATGAAGGAATAAAGACTATAGATTATCTTAATAATTTATTAGGAAAGGAAACTTGCAAGTAGCGAGGGAATGCATCATAAACCTCTGAGCAAGCTCTCAGGTTTTTCAAAATTCTTCATCAGGCTAGCAGGGGGTTGAACTAGATGACCCTTTTGGACTCTTCCAACTCTGTGAGTCTATGAAAAGTTGAAGTTGGGAGAAAAAAGCCAAAAGCATGTATCTTTAGCATATAGAGCAGAGATATTAGTTTAGTACAGTCTTATTATTAGATACTGATCACATTTGATTAGGTTCACTCTTTAATGGGCCAGTTTTAGAAACTATCCAGGACTATCCAGAATAAGGAGTCAAAATGTTTTTTTCCACTTACAAAACAATTACTATGACATTTGGGGTTATTCAGTTCTGTTTGCAGTACTAATTGGAAACCTCAAATTACAAAATATATGATACCTCTCTTTCTAGGAAAGCTGGAAATTAACAGGAAGTACAGAATTAAAACAAGCCAATTTGATATTGTAACAAATATTTTGAAGAGAAGCACAAATTAAATTTCAGATCAGTGTTAGCTAGTGGTTTGTGTATAAATTCTGTAGTGAAACTGCTCTATGTTTTAGTATACAACCTAAAGGAGCTATCCAAGGTAGCCTGTCCATTTGGGGGTATGAGTTAGGATAATTCCTTAAAATCCATACTGGACTGTCACCTTGCTAACATGGTTATTATCGATCATCGTTACATCAGGTAGTAAGAGATAATATTCTTCCAGCTTTAAAGCTTTCTTTTGAACAGATAATTGTAGTATTGTACAAATCATACTTAAATTATAGATAGCTTTGTTGATCTGTTTGAAAAACTCAAAAACCACAGTGCGGTCATATATTTATCATGAGAAACCAAAAGGTCACAAGTACTGGTGAAGGATTAAGTCTCAACTTCATAATCTTGTATTGTCATTATTTGCAGTTGAATTTATCCTTTGCATATGTATTTTTCGAACAGATTATTATTTATGTTGCTTGTTTTTAAGGGCCACAATAAGGCAATGGATTTTATTTCTTTATATCTTTTTTTTTTGCAGATCACCTTTTGCTGCTGTGACAGATTATTCTGTAACAAGAAATAATGTCATACAGCTCTGTCTTGAATTAACAACGATTGTACAGCAGGTATGAGACCACCTTAATGTCCTTTTGTGCCTAATTTTAAAAAGTACATGGTGTAAAGATTTCAAAGATAGGTCTCTTTTATGATTAAAACATGCCTTTTTACATAATGACAAATCTGTCTGCAAATTCCTAATTCTGTGATATGGTATTTATGTTCTTTTCCTGCAGTGGAAAGGAAATTAATATGTACCATGGCAGTTCCCCTTAGCTTACATAAGGAAGAAACAGCCACACTTGCCTAAAAGCTGCTGTAAATTTATTAAAACAAGTGGGGATAAAACTGAAATACATGAAGTTGTCCTTCCATATTTGTGATTTTGACGTTGTGAATTGGATTATTCATTAATTTGATTTAAATGTCCTGTCTAGGACTCTCTAGGTCCTCTATAGGCAACTTCCTCCAGTCATACTGGAGGACCTGGAGATATTCTCTAGGAATCCCTAGGCCCTTCAGTGCAATTCTGTGGCCAGCTACCAGCAGAGGCTGATCATAAGAGCCATGCTGGAAAACGTAGAAATTCCCAGAGAGAGGGTCTCCCAGTTTTAAAAATTAGCAGTTTCTTTATGTGCAATTTTTCACTTTCAAAGCAGTTAACACCAGCAAATATGGAGATCTGACTGTAAAAATCTTAATCTGTCTTTCATTGATGGACTTTCATGTTTACTCATGCTCCTTTGGCATTTTCAGTTGGCCTTTGGTATTTGTGGGGGATTGGTTCCATTTGCCCAGGGAAGGAAGCAGCAGATGTGACACTGCCAAGCAAGTTAAGAGTCACATGTGCCACTTTTTGATAGTCCCAGGAAAGCAGCTCTGAAGTTGGCTGAGGAAAGGAAGGAGAGAGGGGGGTGGAACAAAAGGGACCAAGAAAGTGCTTGGGATGAAATAATGGCCTGCCAGAGAGAGGCACACCCTTTGTTTCAAATATTTTCAATCTGTGGTTGTTTGAATCCACAAAAAAGAAATCCATGGATATGGTGAACTGTATGAAAAAAATGGTCTTTTCACCTATAAAACTAACACTTTTAAAATGAGGGTATATTTTCTATATGCCATTTAGATTTCCCCGAGTATGAATTTATAATCATAGTGCCAACAACCCACAATGATTGTTTAAAAGTGTCCCTGTAACTCTAAAAAATGTGTGTGTGGGTTTTCATGTTGTTTATTTACATTTAATAAAGTTGCAAGATTAATTGACATGTACTGTGCTGCATCAATTACCTTCATTTCGAAGCTTGCAAGGAACCATATCCTCTTTTACTTTTTTATCATATGAGATTTAATACAGAAAATCTGAAGGACTGTTATGATTACTGTGCTTTATTGGAGGATAAAATGAAATGCTGGTGTTAATTTGCCAGCAGTTCATACATGCCTTTATGGCTGAAGGTGTGCATTTAAATAGTTAGTTGGATTTTTCTCCATAGATTTCCTGGTCAAATATTCAGCTTGCTGTGTGTATGACAAATACTGTAGTTCTGGACTAGAGGATCTCATGTACTTCGTTGTAACTTACTGGGGGAAAAAACCCCAAACTTTTTGAAGCCATTACAAATAACTGTGCAGTGATCACAAAACACTTAATACCTCCCATCTTCAACAACAACAAAACTTTATTTATATACCGCTCTATCTCCCCAAGGGGACTCATAGTGGTTTCCAAGTAACATCATCAATACATACAGAGTAAACAACATAAACATAAAATTAACAAAACAATATAAGCATCTTCGGTCATATCTATCTATTTATCTATCTATATAAAATATATACAGTGTCCCCTCTTTACTTTGCAGTTCGCTTTGAGCGGACTCGCTGTTTTGTGGGTTTTTGAAAATATTAATATAAAATATAAAATATTTACATGCAGTGGAGGCCAGGAACCCTGGAAGTGTGGCAGCCTGAGGCACAGTGGGGAAGGCCTGCCTCCCTGGCCTGCTGCTGCCTGTGTGGCTCCGGAGGCTCTGCTGGGGTCTGCGGAGACCAGGGAGGCAGGCAGGTGCCCTTGGAATGGGCTGGGAGGTGGGTAAGGATGTGTGGGTAAGGAAATAATGTATATAAAATAATGTATAAATATTAAAATTAATATGGCATCCCTACTGGTCCTGGAACGGAACCCCCGCAATAAGTGAGGGAACACTGTATATACATACATACCTTTTCTAACATGGACTTAACAAGTCTTGTGGGTATCATTCCAACATATTTCATTAAAATCCCTTCAACATAATCTTTGTAAGAATTATGAGCAAAATGTGGGTATGTGGAACATGTGGTCTTGTGACCCTATTCTAAATGATGAGCTTTTTATATTGTGGAGGTGTCAATGACTCATAAGCTGTGCCAACCTCTTAATTAATGCAGGGAGCTTGCAAGCCTGGATTTTCTTTGCTCCTTCTGTTCACTTGAGAAAATTTCATATAGGTATAGTTTCCTAAGAACACCTTATTGTTTTCTATGTGATGAAAACAGGAGCCAGAGAAGGAATGATCTCTTCATTTGATTTTAGGTCAGCTATCTTTCACTTATATCCCCATACCAAAAAAGGGAAATGCGAAAGACTGCTCCAACTTCCGTACAGTGGCCCTTATTTCACATGCCAGTAAGGTAATGCTCAAGATCCTCCAAGGAAGACTCCAGCAATACATGGAGAGAGAGTTGCCAGATGTTCAAGCTGGGTTTAGAAAAGGCAGAGGAACGAGAGACCAGATTGCCAATATCCGCTGGATAATGGAGAAAGGCAGGGAGTTTCAGAAAAACATCTATTTCTGCTTCATTGACTATTCTAAAGCCTTTGACTGTATGGATCATAATAAATTGTGGCAAGTTCTTGGTGGGATGGGCATACCAAGCCACCTTGTCTCTCTCCTGAGGAATCTGTACAAGGACCAAGTAGCAACAGTAAGAACTGACCACGGAACAACAGACTGGTTCAAGATTGGGAAAGGCGTACGCAAGGCTGCATACTCTCACCCAACCTTTTTAACTTGTATGCAGAACACATCATGCGATGTGCGGGGCTGGATGAATGCAAAGCTGGGGTGAAAATTGCTGGAAGAAACATTAACAACCTCAGATATGCAGATGACACCACTCTGATGGCCGAAAGCGAGGAGGAGCTGAGGAGCCTTCTAATCAAGGTGAAAGAAGAAAGCGCAAAAGCCGGGTTGCAGCTAAACGTCAAAAAAACCAAGATTATGGCAACAAGAATGATTGACAACTGGAAGATAGAGGGAGAAACCGTGGAGGCCGTGACAGACTTTGTATTTCTAGGTGCAAAGATTACTGCAGATGCAGACTGTAGCCAGGAAATCAGAAGACGCTTACTGCTTGGGAGGAGAGCAATGTCCAGTCTCGATAAAATAGTGAAGAGTAGAGACATCAGACTGGCAACAAAGATCCGCCTAGTCAAAGCCATGGTATTCCTGTAGTAACCTACGGATGTGAGAGCTGGACCTTAGGGAAGGCTGAGCGAAGGAAGATAGATGCTTTTGAACTGTGGTGTTGGAGGAAAGTTCTGAGAGTGCCTTGGACTGCGAGAAGATCAACCAGTCCATCCTCCAGGAAATAAAGCCCGACTGCTCACTGGAGGTAAAGATACTAGAGACAAAGTTGAAGTACTTTGGCCACATCATGAGGAGACAGGAAAGCCTAGAGAAGACAATTATGCTGGGGAAAGTGGAAGGCAAAAGGAAGAGGGGCCGACCAAGGGCAAGATGGATGGATGGCATCCTTGAAGTGACTGGACTGACCTTGAAGGAGCTGGGGGTGGTGACGGCCGACAGGGAGCTCTGGCGTAGGCTGGTCCATGAGGTCACGAAGAGTCGGAGACGACTGAACGAATGAACAACAACAACAACATCTTTCAGGACTGCTTCTTTGCATACATATGATTCCAGAAACATGCTGACTTGTGCTGAAAGCCTTGTCTATGTTTTTGTGATATACAATTGGTTTGGCAACATTAAGAGTGAGAGGATTTCCTTTATTGTATGCCCTTTTGCAAGCCTGTCTCCTTATACTGTATTAGTTGGAGGACAGGAGCTCGTGTTAGCATTTTGTATTTTCATAAAATCTGATTGGTATAGCATTGACTAAAGAACTGTTTGTCCTAAGTCTGTCTCCCTGGCAACCAACAAGAGCCTTTTCATAGGTTATGTAACAAATTATGTGTACAGTCAAGATCTTTTCCTTACTTAAGAGTTTGGATTTTCTTTATTACTTCTGTACCAAAGTCAAGGCTTCCAGTGGGTTTTGTGTTTGTTTGACTTACAGTGTGCTTATTAGTGCCATCTCATGCTCCCGGGGGAGAGGGGAGGGGTCACTATTTTATTTGTTTATTTATTTCAAGCATTTGTACCCCGTCATTCTCACCCTCGAGGGGGGACTCAGGGTGGCTTTACAATAGGCAACCATTAGACACCGAACATCAAATTAATCATATTGCCCCTCGGGACAGTTTGTGGGCATCTTCACCTACTAAACATTTCACATAAAATTTTTAAACTGTGGCATAAAATCTCCATCTGTAGGCTTAGTTTAAATGTGAACACTTTCATCCTTTCCCACATATGCAGATTTTGTTTGATGGATAAAAGATGCATGACGGTGTTTTGTTATGCTTTCCAGTATAGATTTTTGTGAATTTATTGCAATCTAAAAATGACTCTGCTCATGGGGGAAGTGTGGGAGTAGCAGCAAAAAATGTTTCTCTGTTCTGCCAATGCTTGCCCTGTTTCCAGTGTACTGGAAATAGCTTCCTAATGAGTGGCCTATGCTAGTTAATTTGAAAACTGCATTTAATATTGAGTAGTATATTGATAAATAGGGAGACTATTTGAAGAGGAAAAGTTAGAAGTAGTTGGGGCACAGGACTTCTTGTGGACACCAAAATCCATGGATGCTTAAATTCAATTACTCACAATGGTATAGAAAAAGGCATCCTGTATATAAAATGGCAACATCAAGGTTTGCTTTTAGGATTTTATTTGGGGGGTGTGAGGGCTGTTTTCCAAGCTGTCAGTGGTTGAATCCATGGATACAGAATCTATTGATTCTGATATCCCATTGAAATTTGCAATTGAAGCAAATTACAGCAACATTAGATATTTATTTTGAAGCAAGATAGGACTATTTATTGTCAAAGACTTTTATGGCTGTAATCACTGGGTTGTTGTAGGTTCTTTTGGGCTATGTGGCCATGTTCTAGAGGCATTCTCTCCTGACGTTTTGCCTGCATCTATGGCAAGCATCCTCAGAGGTAGTGAGGTCTGTTCCTAACAAGCTTTCCTGAGTAGATTTATTGAATTCTTTCTTCTTTTGCAGTCATTAAAATGTTCAGTGGAGAAAGTGCTCCCCCCTTTAACAACTTACAATGAAAAACAGGGGTTTTGAATTTGAGCAGAGCAGGAGATTGGAAGAGGGCACATTTCATGACCTCCCATCCTTGCAGTTTCCCTGAATGAATCACCATCCCTACAGTTTCAATTAGCCCTGTATAATAAAAATTCCAATGCAGCCATTACGCATTTATTCAAGTGGGTTCTCAGGAACACATACAAATTACTTGGTCGAACCAAAGATGTGTCATTTCTGTCCCAGCGGGCAATCACTCCATTATCCTCTAGCTGCATAGTCTCTGAAAGTAATGTTAGCCTGTTGTGTGTTCCTTAAGCAACCTGGCATTTGGCTGTGAATGGCTAGGAGCTGTTATTGTGAGCACACCTTGCCTAGGCTATCACAAAATTAGAAAAACGGTAATAGTTTTGAGAACTAATTTCTCTGATGCTTGCATAATAATGAATACAAGTATTCTGCCTATATTTATAGCTTTTATTTTTTTTACTTTATAGTGAAAATCATTTTAATTACATACCTCAAAAATGTGGAGGATACATATTTTCCAGTTCCAGGGCTATGTTTCACAGGACAAGACACAAAAAGCCTAAAAGAAGCTGAAGTGGTTTCTTCATACTTTGGGGGTTCATAGATTTATGTTTTCTTTGAATTATGAGTAATAATGTTAAGATTAGATCATTATTTTATTTTTCCCTTGCAACTGAGAAGCTGTTGATTACATGCCCAAACTCTGCTAGTTAGTCATGATGCTTGCCCCCCCCCCCCCCATACACACACATTGTAGGTCTAGGCTTTTTTGGATTCTTAAGATTGCTAAGACTATTTCACTGCCACATTCCTATTCCCTATGGTTATGAATATAAACCATCGGAATCATTACATAAACTTTTTTGTTAATAGGCAATCATCATGTGTAAAATTATTTTTAAAAGGGATAAAAAGTACATTGAAGAGAACTATTTTTAAAGAAAATGTTAAATAAACATAATTTGAACAAATAAGAATATTAATTATATGTTTTTCATTAACAAATTCCACAAAATTTTAAATACTGTGGATTATTTCACTGATACAGTGGATAATATGCCCATTTAATAACTGGGCAGGTGGGGGGGGGGATATCCAGAAGAAAATTAGGAAATGAAAAATAACAAGGTGAGCAAAGGTGTTTTGTTTCTTTTTAAAGAAGAGGATATAAACAATATTTCTTACACCAATGATTTGTTTATAGAATAAAAATATGATAATAGTAATAAACATTATACCCCGCCCCATCTCCCCGAAGGGACTCAGGGCAGCTTACAACATGGATAAATACAATAAAAATACATAGACAATAAAAACAAACAAAGTAATAACACATCAAAAGACAAAAACTGCAAGAGTTTGAAAAATCATCATAAATAGTTCCTTGTTTACAATTAAAATTAAGCACAAGTGTAATCATCCTCTCAAACCAATTCCAAGTATCGATGTAAATATGGCCATAGTGAATTTAAATTTATATTGCCATTGATATGTTCCTAAAGCAGTGGTTCAAACTGACACAGGATGGCTTTTATTGTCCCTAAGGTGGCATTCAGTGGGTCTTACATTAGTTGCAACATACATACATATACTGTCATGAGGCTTGGTTAAAATGACTTATTTCAGCATTTTAGTCTAAATGGGGATGATTAGATGATTATTCCAATTCCAGTTGTACCAATCTGACAACTACCCCATGCATTAAATTATCTAGATCAGCGGTTCTCAACCTTTGGTGCTCCAAGTCTTTTTGGATTTCAGCTCCTAGAAGTCTCAGCCAGTTAACCGGATGTTAGGGATTATGGGAGCTGAAGTTCAAAACACCTGGAGGACCAAAGGTTGGGAACCACTGATCTAGATGATTGCATACCCAAGGAAGACAGACTGTTTAGGACAATATAAGGCATGTTTAATCAGCTTAAAATATTCTCTCTGTTATGCAGTTCTAGGACTGTTTTGAATCCTTGCAGGTCATCTCTGAAATAGCTGTCAGTATAGCTTTACTGCTAGTGAGGGAGCATTTTGAGGATGTCTATTTCATGTGTTAAGATAGTGAGCTTAGTACAGAAAAATAAAATGCTAGTAGAATCAGATTTTAGCAAGCAATAGTGCTAGAGGACCGCAATGGTCTCCTGGACAAGATATTCCATGCTAGCTGTAACATAACCCTCCTCTCTGCCTAAAAGAAAATTCCATAAATGTGGACTTAGCTTTCTTTTTAGAAAAAATAGCTAGTGCCTTAAGGCTGTAAAAACAAGACTGTTATAATTGACCTTTTTTAGAATGATAAAGCAGATTGGAGGGAAAGATGCCTTAAACAAGATATATTGGTGGGTAGGAACTGTAGATGTCTATTATTGCAAATTTGTGACTATAGAGGAAAAAGAAACGTGATAAGAACCCATAAGAAATGTCTTCAAAAGGTTGAATTCATTCTCCCACTTGTAAATCTATCTGTCACCTTGTTTAAAAAACAAAGACTGTATGGAAATTCTATTTATTTAAATGAACCTTTGTTAATTCTGTGTGTTTTAGGATTGCACAGTATATGAAACAGAGAATAAAATTCTTCATGTGGTGAGTAGCATTTATATTCTCTGCATATGTATTCATATGGATGACATGCCACACCTCAAGGATTCTTTTCATATCTGATTTCTTTTGATTCCTTTCCAGAAAAGCTTTTTTGTTCGAGTATAGTTTGTGGTTGTGTTACCTTTCATATCTGTCCTAAATATACAGTCTTTATTAGAGGCTTGTTATTCAAAATATAGATATTGAAGATAGAAAATGTCCTCCAGAGTCCTGGCAGAGCAGATGAGTTTTTCTGCATTTGAGAAGTTAACTGGTATAGAAAACTCTCACTCTATTTCTTGTTTCCTGGACTTAAAGCTAGTTATCAAAAGCCTGTTGCATCTACAAATACCCCATAATGCTTTTCAGCCTTGAGTGGATTAAAGATTCACTGGATCTGGTGCTCAAATCAGCTTATTGTCAAAGTCATCAAAGTTAAATATCTCTTCTTAACTAAATGTCCATCCTCTGGAGGCATTGTTGTGCGTTTTTTGCATGCAAATAATGAGATATACAATTTTTAATTCTAAATTGCAGTATATTGCATTTTCTCTATTCAACTTTCAGTGTAGGTCAGCTATTAGCAGGTCTTAACATGGTTTCCTCTGGAAAGGAGATTACTTCATCACCCCATGAAGACCTTACATGGCATGCCCACGCAGTGGTATCATGTCCTTGCTCCTTTCCAGTTACTAATAACGGTGTTGATCCAGGATTTTTAATGGAAAGAATTAACTCAATTCTTTATTTTCTTATATATAGGACAATAAAATCTTTGTAATATAGAATTGAAACAGATAATTTTATTTTCATTTTAAGAAGGGCAACATTTCTGCAGATGTACTGCAGGATAAAGATGACCTTTGGGAAAAGTTGTTGGTCTCATCAAGGGAGCGTTTTTTGTTTTGTTCTTAGAATCATAGAATCATAGAGTTAGAAGAGACCTCATGGGCCCCTGCCAAGAAGCAGGAATATTGCATTCAAAGCACCCCTGACAGATGGCCATCCAGCCTCTGTTTAAAAGCTTCCAAAGAAGGAGCCTCCACCACAGAGTTCCACTGCTGAACGGCTGCCACAGTCAGAAAGTTCTTCCTAATGTTCAGATGGAATCTCCTTTCTTGTAGTTTGAAGCCATTGTTCCGTGTCCTAGTCTCCAGGGAAGCAGAAAACAAGCTTGCTCTCTCCTCCCTGTGACTTCCTCTCACGTGCTGTGTTTTAAAGACACAGCACGTAAGTATGTATCTGCAGTGTTTGTGTCACACTTCACTTAATTTATTTGAGAGCATATTCAAAAGATTCAGTTTATTTTATTTAACATATCAGAAGCAAACCAAGGGTGCAGTTGTAATGTATTTTAAAACAGAAATTGTAAAACTTGGCATTATATTAAATGATCAGTAGCTGGCCACTTGGAGTTCCTCTGGTGTTCCTATAAGGAGGTCCTCCGTTGTGCATGTGGCAGGGCTCAGACTGCATTGTAATAGATGGTCTGTGGTTTGCTCTTCTCAACACTCCCATGTCAAAAAGATTCAGTAAAAATATAGTAATACAAAATAAATCAGTAAGTAGAGAAGTATATTCTAATATACTTGAGACTGAAGGCTAGGCATATGTTGTGGCTAAAATTGGTGCAGTATCTGTGATGTATGAAATTGAAAGCTATGTTTCAAAATTCAAAATGAGGATTATAGTTTTCTTGTTTGTTGGTAACTGCCATCATGTCGACTTTGACTTATAGTGACTCCATGAATGAGAGATCTCCAAGTTACAGTATCATCACCAGCTCTGATCAGGTCTTGCGGACTCTGGCCATGGCTCCCTAGATAGAATAGTTTTCTTACCTTGCAGTAAATTAGACTAAATTGTTTAAAGGAAAAATTGAGACACCAGTTTCCATGACACTGTTGTTTTAAAATAGCCAGTTATCAGGCCTTCATGGGTAAGAATCTGTTTTTTGGTGAGACAGCTTTTGGCTGAGACTTAACATCTCTGTAGACAGGGATGACTTTACTCCTCTTTTACCTTATGTGGACCAGAGGGAGGCAGGAGAGTTGGGACACATCTATACTAACCACTTAACATGGATTGAAAGTGCCACAAAAATGTGATGTTCAAACAAATGTGCACAGGAACACACTTTTGAGGTTTTAAACCAAGATAAGCAAAATTGTGGAACACTCCAAAATAAGCTGCTTAATACACGTAGGTGTAAACCACATTGCATGGAAAAATTAATTGAGGGACAGATGCTCTGGCAATCCACACATGAACATTAGGGTAGGGGGCACTGGGGGAGGGAAGCCATGAATCCTTCTTGTATGTGACGTGATCAGGTGCATGTTTTCTTTACTTCCACTCAACTGCTTTTGTCCAGCATTACATGGTCTGTGTAGATGTTCCCATAGTCAACCACCTGAAGACTAAAAGATGCATAATCTTGGGGATCTGAAGGATGCTGACTGGTCATAAATTGCTGTCTCTGTTCATGTTTATGCCAAATATACCAGATGAAAGATAGCAGTGAATATCAGTTGAAACCCAGATGACCAAAGGTTTTAGTACACATTGAGCAGCAAGAGATCTTTAGTTGTGGATGTCAGGGGTTCTGTGCAGACATAACACTTCTGTTCTTATGAAGGTGACTATTAGTTTTGGTTAAGGAACCAGGTATCCAAAAACACGGTTGTAGTGATCTTCTACTGGAACAAAAAAACACGCAGATACTTTTCTTCTTTCCCAAATGAGCAAGAAGGCTTTTCTTTCTCCTCTGTTGCAGCAGTATACAAAGTATATACAAAAGATACAAACTTTACAGCTTCTTCTTCCTTACTATTATTTATTTATTTATTTATTTATTTATTTGCTATACTTGTATACCGCTGTTTCTCAGCCTAGCCGGCGACTCAACGCGGTTTACAACAAAATACAACAATCAACAGTATACAATTTAAAACCATAAAAGCATGATACACAATATTCGCACATCAATAACAATCCAATACATCTCCTGACTAAAATCGTGATCCAGTTTCGTCGTCCATATTACCAATCCTTTAATCATTACATTCATTGCACCGAATTAACCAAATGCCTGTTCGAACATCCAGGTTTTTAATCTTCTACGGAACACCATCAGCGAGGGGGCTGATCTTACTTCCATGGGAAGGGTGTTCCATAGCCGAGGACAGCACAGTAGTAACTCTCCAAACCACCATCCGTCCCTCATCAAACTTATTTAGTATATCTACAACCTATATTTTACTCCCATTGCATTAACCACCACACCCTGATTACAGTGGTTTAACTCTTTTACATGTGGTTAGGTCAGAGATATTAATTCTGCTATCAATTAGAAAATGCCAGATTATTTCTGAATTCTGACAGTTAAATCCCAGGAAAAGTATTTTTAGGTAGTGCAGCCCATATATACGTAAACATTGGGTCGTGCTGCCCATAAATATGTAAATGTCTCATATCTATCAGAAGATCGAAACAAATTGAAGAAAGGTATTGATATCTAAGTGATACTAAGAACCATTTCATAATTATGGCATCATCAGCATTGGGTTTAGTATGACTTTTAAAAGGGACAGCACTGCAAATATGTAGGAATTTTAGTATGGACTGGCATTTAAAGCTAATATTTTGAACCTAGATCATGCAAAGAGTGGATACTATACAGTCTTCAGTATTGCACAAAATGGTCCCAAATCATTAGGGGATATGATTTCTGCTTCCATTTAAATTACATTTTTGTATCTTTTTCTCTGAATCTATTGATCAGTATTTTGCACAGGAGAGATTTCATTATATGTTAGCAGCTCCAGCATGGTTGATTTTCTGTCGAACAGGTCCGTTTTTGTATGTTCAGTTATGAAACACTAGTTCTTAGTGGCATTATGTTGTGAGGGCTGTCAGAAGCAGGTTTCTGCAATATTCACATTTCATTCAGAAGTGAAAAGGGCACTTTGGACACATGACTGTCTCAGTTATTATATATTAGATTGTTATGGAAAGCATTCATAAGAGTGTTAAATGATGCTCCAAATGTGTTGTGGCTTACCTCATAGTTAAATATCGATTTTGCTTCAATTTGTGAGCAATTTGCCTTGATTCTAATGCATTCTTAGAATGCATAGAAGTATCATTTGCATGGTTATGTTTTAGCTTGGGCTGTTATAAAAGACGGCTTCAGATTAATTTTTCATGCTTAAAATTATTCTTTAAATGAATGGAGCATGAAAGAAGTGGATATTTGAAGAGACATGTTTTCCTCTGCAGCACCTCTACTTTAGATCATAGATGGTTTGTGGTAATTTGCTAGTATAATGTAATGGGACTACTGCTTGCTGGCCCCTATGACAGACTCTTTCCCTTCAAAATTCTTTTGTTGCATATACATATGTATCCTCCTTCATTTTAGTATGGGTAGGAAATTTTATGATTGTCCACATATTTTGACTAGAGGCTATGGGAGCTGTAATCCAGAAGCATTAGCAGGGTTGTAGCTGGGGGTGGTGGAGTGTAAAAGTTCAACCCTGCCCTCAAATGTGTGAGGTTAAAAAAGAAAGCTGGTTTACTCATAAATTGGTTAACCAGTTAAAATTCATAAGTAAACCAGGTTTTGGGGAGGGGGGGTTGAGCTATGGCTCTGTTTAGATGTTTACATGTTCTGCACCATTGGTTTACTGCCAGCTCCAGGTTTGCATGATCTTTGGAAAAAATTGTATTAAAAACATTAAAAGTCTATGATTTCATCTCACTAAACCAGAAGCCAACTTTCCTTCCTTGGTGTCAATTAGGATATTTCCTGACTTTGGTATTAGTTTTGCAAAACTTTGCTGTTTTGTACCTTTACATTGGCTGCAATTTGTGGTGAATCTGTAAGATTTTCTTGATAAGATTTATTCAGAAAAGGTTTTTCATTGCCTTCTTCTAAGGCTGAGCCTTGTCCATGGTCAACCAGTGGGTTTCCATGACAGAATGGGGATTCAAAACCTGGCCTCCTAGGGTGCATCTACCCTATAGGAATAATGCAGCTTGACACCACTTTAACTGCCATGGCTCAATGCTACAAAACCATGGGAGTTTTACAAATAGTGCTGATTCCTCACCAAACTATATCTCTCTTGGGTGCATCTACACTGTAGAAATAATGCAGTTTGACAGTCCTTTATCTTCCATAATTCAATGCCATGGAACCATGGAAATTATAGTTTGATGAAGCACCAGATCTCTTTGGCAGAGGAGGCTTAGGACCCTGTAAAACTACATATTAAATGATTTCACAGAATTGAGCCAAGGCAATTAAACTGGTGTTAAACTGCATTAATTCTACAGTGCAGATACATCTTGTGATCAGCCTTTAATATCAGCCTTTCCTTTGAACATATATGAGATGTTATTTTTTATTATACTGTTTAGTATGATTGTTTTCTATATGACTATTTTTCAAGTTTCTTGGTCTCTAATAGAAATTGCACATTTTTTATTTCTAGTGCAAGACACTTTCTAATGTCTGTGACCACATAATCTCACTCTCATCTGATCCTCTTGTATCTCAATCTGCTCACCTGGAAGTGATCCAGCTAGCAAATATCAAACCAAGCGAAGGGCTGGTAAGATGTACGCAGTTAATCAAAACTGTCATCCAAAATGAAAGTGATGGATTTTCTGAACAAAATCGTTATTGTATCAGTCAGATACAACACAAATAACATTAGATATTATTAACCTTGTTATAAAATTTAGGAAAACATTGGAAAAGCCATGTGTTTGTATTGTAGTACCTCCCCTTTTTTGGTATCCTAAATCTAGATATAGTTTTTATGTAGTCTTGATAGTTAACAATGTTAAGATTTATGGAAGATGTCTTCAGTAACATTAAGAAAAGAGGTTAGTTTGCTTAGACCACAATTTTGAGCACATTTGGGAATATGTTTGTGAACCTTTGATTACTTTTTTGTCCTTGATGCTTTAATGTTAGAGAAAGGTTCCCAAACAACATATTTCTATATAGACTGCATAATTAGAAATAATCCTGGTTGGGAATAATATTTTTGTTAGAAATAATTATGATAATTAGAAGAAAAGGTTCTTACCTGTTCTGAGTGTATTGGCAATGTTTTTATTTCTATTCCCAAAAGGCTCGTAAAGCTATTTTTTTTTAGATTTATAACTATGCCAGATTTCCGGTTTGCTACTGCATTTTTATTCAGCAGTAAATTACACTGAACATCTTATATTAATAGCCTTCTTCTATGTCATTTTGAAGATTCCAGATAAGCTTTGATGCCTTTTAAAGGTTTTCTAAATCCTGCTTTACTTGGTGCATTTAGCATGCTTCCCAACCTGTCTTCCTGCTGTACTGCTATATGATCCTTCATACTTTGTCTTAGTGACAACATTGGAGATAGAAACCATTTTGTGTGCCATTGTCTATTGTTTCTTCTGTGTCCTATGTCATAACCCAGTTGAAAATATTGTTCCTTTCATGATTTCGCCTATAACTTTCCTAATCCAGATCTTCTTTTTTATTTCTCTTCTTCCAGAAATGTCATTTAGGAGATGACCAAAAACTTTTTTTTTACCTGACAATTGTTCTGATGACTTTTTAAAAACAGTATCTTCAGTTTTCAAAACTTCTTAGAAACTGCCTTCTCTTACTGTGTTTGTAGGCTGTAAGCTCTTTAGACCATAGTTTTTCCTATTTAAAATGTTCTGCATTATTCTGGGGTTCTATTAAGTATTTGGCTGTAATAATTTCCTGGCTATAAAATCTATTTCCTGAACTGGTAGGAGTTTGCAGTAATGTTTAATATAAAAATGTGCATAACTTTTCAGGCCTTGTTATGTTTATTGTGGTTATTTTAAAGGGCCTTGTAGCATTTAGTATGTAAAAAATTGCCAAATGTTTGTAGAATTTTGATTTACCTTCAAGATGTATAATCTATGGATTTGGTGCTGTCAGAATGGAGATTCCGACAGTCATTGCAAAATAATTCAAAAGAAGCTGCTTAATGCAAGGAAGATTTGGGGCGACAAAGACTTCTTATGCTAAGGAGAAGGTTACAGATGCTGGCAATGGCAATACATGAACAAGAAAAACAGAAAAATTGTTGCAACATTTTTATTGGAAAGAGAGAGACTGAACTACAGGTGATTAAAAACAAGAGAAAACAGAGATATTGTGCAACATAATAGCTATAAACACAAAAACTTCCAGTTCTCTTTATATAGAATGCCATTTGCAATAATACAAAATGTCAACTAGACATCTATGAACAATATGTAGGCTGCTGGTGATATTGTGGGACCATTGGCTAATATATAGAAAATCATAGGCTGTATGCAATGCTTGGAGTAAGAAACAGCCTGGAGAATCTTAAGAAACAGGCAGGGAAAATATTCTAAGTGTTGATAAGCATCAAGATTAATGAGATGTGATCAATTGGCAGAGCCATTCCAGCCGAATGGTTGATCTGTGGCCTGGGGAGTGATTCTGCATCAATTATTTAATTATAGTTTGCTGTTTATTTCTGCTTCTTACAGTCTAAAAATATGAATATGCCTGGTTTATATATAAGTGCTTATTGGTTTAGGTGGTTGGCTTCCCAGTTTCATGTGTGGTAAGCAACAGGTTTGGTTTTGTATTTTTAAAAAATCTACCTACTTTATCGCTCTGTACTGGGGTCCTGAAGTCCCAGTGCTTGTATGGTCTTAAGTGCAGATGAACAAACTCCATTGGTTATCTTGTTCTCAGTTCCAATGACCCCATCCAGCTACATTATGCTATTTTTGTCTAGATTCAGTGCTCATCAATGGAGTCCATCAAAAGCTCATCAAAAGCTAGCTTCAAACTGCAGTGGCCAGACAAACTTCCACAACAGCACACAAAAGAAAGCCCTTAAATGGGCATCAGTGCTCGGTGGTTTATGTAATTACCAACTGGGTCTCAGACTGGTTCCAGGATTTCCTAGAATCATCTCCAAAGCAAAGCCACTTTCTTCAATAACTGATTTGAAACTGCATTAAATGGTCAGTGTAAATGTGTCTAGAGTTTTCGCTGTCATCAGTTGGACTGGAATACGAATGGAAAAGACAGCTATGAATTTCTATGATCATACTAAGAAAATCTAATTTGAAATCTTTGAATGATATCCAGAGAGACATCTAATTTAAGCATTACAGGTAGGAAGAAACAAGGTAGAATCTGGAGGAGACTTACCATGGAAAACTTTAAGAAATACCAAGTAAATAAACATCACAACTCTATTGGATTACCCATCCAAAAACCAACAGAACCAACATATGGCAGGCATTTAATTGCTATCACCACACAATATATTTTATCACTGGCCACTGACAGACCAAAGATATGATTTATTTCTGAAGGATGATAAATCTGTCAGAATTTTCTTTATATTCAAAATTAGCTTCACTGCTGGTGGTGCAATAAAAACAAAATTTAAAAAAGGGGTTATCAGAAAAATGGTGATAGGAGACACTGTTTTATGCAGCAAATAGACAATATAGCGATTTTCTAATCTTTAAGATGAAGATTTTCACAATAGGCTTTGAGCCATAAACTCTATTCCAGAAGTGCATAAATGCACTCATTTGAAACTGCTTTGATCTACACTGGAAAGCATTATAAATCTATCTATCTTCTTGCTGAATTTTCCTGTTTAATTGGCTTTTCTTTATAAACCAGCTAGCTAGTATTTGTGTTGAGAGATTTATTTATCTGCTATTTCAATTTTTATGTCTATTATTAAGTTAGAAACTATTTCATTATTTTATTGCACCATTTTGTAAGCTTTTTATAAGTATTGTTAGTCATTTAATGCACTCATGATATGCAATAATTTATTTTATGATTCATCTCATGTAATGCTAAAACTTATACATAGTGCCACAATAGGAACAGCAGTTATCTTGCTCTCATATCCTACAGTACAACTATCCAAATAAAATCAATTCTTTCCCATTCTATAGGCATTTAGCATCTCCAAAAATCTCATAATAGTTATCCTTTAATAAGTAAATACTGAGATTTATCTATTGGTTGTGTTTTTAAAGACAGGTATGCCATATTTTCTTTGATTTTTCATCTTATGGGACTTATCTTTGAATATTGGAGACTGTTTTTGTGTAAATCTTGTTTTCAAGCTGAAAAGACATTTCTTTCAATTGGGTGTGTGGGATGTGTGTATGACATTGTATGCCTTTTAATCACTGCAATATTCTGTTCTATCATAAAACAGTAGTTTCAGTTATGGGCTTTATCACATGATTGCATCAATGACTTATTGGTACAATGACTCTCGGTATCATATCTCTCCAACACGTTAAACTTTAAAGATTCAAAGTCGCACAGCTGCATTTCTGTTGAGCGGCATAACTTCTGTAATTCTGCTGTTTTGTTTTTGTTTTGTTTTTTACAGTTAAGGAAACGTCACAATTCCAGCAAAGTGTAGTATTTTTTAAAAGCATTAAAAATCTTTATTTGCATATGAGAGGAGAATGGGAGAGGAGAGCAATCTTTTCCCTTGATGTCGCTTTTGTGCTGACACAGAAGCGGCCAGGGAATCATCGCACCAGCTAAGCCATAGCACTGGTACAATCGGGATATTTACAGATTTTTCCTGTCAATAGTAGGCAAAACGTTTTTCATAGGGAGGTGGCGGGAATGGGTGGCGCACATTGTTGTGTGATAATAACCTACTTTTATGCTGATTTGACACTTCCATGCGATCAAAGTCTTAAATGTATTATATTTTATATTTCCTGTATTTATGACTTGTTTTTTGAAAAAAAGGTTTTTTCCTCCTTCCTAATATAAGCAAAGATGATAGGTCTTTTGCAGCTCAATCTTCCATATATGTCTTTTCACTAAAGAGAATATTATGTGTTTTTCCTCTCTGGGGTTGGACTAATCTTGGACATATCTCATAGTATTATTATGTCCATATTTTACTCTGCCATAAAATAATCTGTGGCCATGTACCTGGGGGAAAGGATTGGATTTCATGTCACTACTCTGAAAATTGATATATGTATAATTTTGAACAATTCTGAATTTTTGGATCTTTGTATGTGCATAGCTTTTTTTTTTAAAAAAAAGAATCCCGAACTAGACCTGTAATTTGAATGAGCATTATGATGTTGTTTAAAACAAGAAATGTTATAGACATTCAGGTGTGTTTTAAACTGAAACAACAATTATTTAATACCAGAAATATAATCATTTGTACTATGAGCTACTTGTGCATAAACTGAATTAAATTGAAAATTAACCAGTAAGAATATAATGGCTTATTTTTCCACTCAGGCCAGCAGAGGTCAGACCGTACGGATTTGTAGGCAGAGGAGAACCAAAAGGACAAGATAAAAGATTGGTATCAGTGGTCTATGGCTGAAACAAAGCTGTTTTTCTTGGAATTTTGCTTTTCTTCCAAGATTATTCCATAACTAATTACGCTCTTGTTTCATCTCAATAAGCACCAACTGCAACTGATCCTTTCGTGGTCTTGTCTATTAACACCTAAAATCGGTTGCCTGATAGGCCCTTGTCACTTTGCATTTGGGGCCTGTCCTTTCTTTTACACGATACCTGAATATTCTCAGTAGCAGTAACAAAAGCAATCCTGTCCTGTTGAAGAGGTTGTCTTTACTATAATCAATAAGGAATATTCTAATATGTACATTGCCTCCAACTTCATCACTTACTGTGTATACCCATGCATAGGTCAACCGCATGTATATGTTGAAAGGGGTCAAAATTATGAATTTTGATATGATCTATGGATAAGTGAACGGTTAGTTTGCAGAGAAGGAAAGCACCAGTGCTGCCTCTGCCGCCATCTCAATTTCCCTGCCCAGGCATTCAGAAAGGTCAGAAGTGGTGCCACAGTGGAGAAAATAGAGAAGATGGGTTCTTCTTTTAGAATCATAGAATAATAAAGTTGAAAGAGACCTAATGGGCTATCTAGTCCTTTAGTACAGACTGAGTTCTTGCCTTTCTCCACTTTACTCAGAGAGAGAAAAAAATACATCTCTTACTCAGAAATACTGTGTACAGTTAGTACAGATTGGCAAATGTTCAGAGTGGAAGAAATCAACTGCAGTCTGCTTCATCAACTATTCTTGGTCTGTTGAAAGAGGTAAAGAGTATTGTAACAGAACAATTTACCTTCTCAGCAACATGCTTTTTGATTATATCTAGCCTGAACACTTTTGAATTAGGTATAACATACAGTATATAAAAAGTATGGTTCAGCTAGTGCAATGGTTCTCAACCTGTGGGTCTTTAGATGTTTTGGCTTTCAACTCCCTGAAATCCTAACAGCTGGTAAACCAGCTGGGATTTCTGGGAGTTGTAGGCCATAATACCTGAGGGACCTACATGTTGAAAACCACTAAACTAGTGTTATAGAACATGTAGGTACTCATTAGGGCTGTCATAAAATCTTGCTGAGATGTCATTTGGCATCTGAACTGTTTCAAATCTAAAAACACTTATCTGCTAATTATATATACTCTGAAACTTTAACACTAGAATAATTTCTGATGATTTCCTTATTTATTTATTTTTCTTTTCTTGGATTATTAAGGATGTGGTAATGATTAGCTTATTGTCTCAATAACCTAGAGGAGGCTCAGTGGCAATGTAGTATTCTCCTAAAAGTTGGGATTCTCCATTTTGGTATGCAAGTGTGGATTTGCTTGTTAGTAGATTTAATGTTGTAGCTGAGTACTTATAAATTCTTAAACAATGAGGCTTTTCTGTTTATATTATAACTCTATGTTGGGCTACAACTTTTGCCTTGTGGAAGCTGCTTTAAACAGCTCCAATGAGATACGGTTCACTGTGGTTCTTGTCATGTATTTGGGGAACATTCTTACATCATCATGTATCAAGTCGAGATGATGAATAGCACATAAATTAGCCATACCTGGAGATAGTTCGTGTAATAGTTGAAAGTAGTGTACATCTTATTTGCATCAGTCTTGAAGCCTTTCCTTCATTTCATTGAAACATATATAAAAATCCAACTGGTATTCTTGTGGCATATGTTATCTTCAAAATATTTGTTAGCAGACACAGAGATTTTTAGGAAGGTGAGGAGTAAATGTTGGATGGCAATGGTTTGCAAACACTTTACAAATTCTTTCCATGGTGTCTTTTTCTTAGGGTATGTACATTAAATCAACATATGATGGTCTCCATGTAATTACTGGAACAACAGAAAATGTAAGTATTGTTTGTCACATTTGCTGAGGCCTGGCATTTTTAAACTCTGGATGCTTCCCCCTTTGCTTGCATACATGTGTATTGAATGAAAAAAAAACATGTTTGGGGGAAGATGGGCTTCACAGAGGCAAAACAGTTTGATAAGGTTTAGGTTTGTCCTTATAATGCACAGACATTGTTGAGTATGGTAAAAGAAGGAGAGGTTGGAATACTTGCTTTTAGTTTTATTGGAGAAATAAAGATATTTTGTATATGCGTATGAGCTTTGCTGTAGTTTTCTGTGCTGCTGTACAATTGTTTTCTGTCTTTGATATTTTAATCAATACATTGGCAGTATTATGTGAGGATTTTCAGTTTTCAAGACAATAACAAAACTAACCAGCAAAGGTGCATCATGAGTAAAACTGAGTGAAATTGGAGTTTGTATTGAAGTGTTTATGCCTAAAGTTCTTTGATTTTTTTCATATTTAATTTTTGGTGTGAATTTCTGATCCTTGTTTTGTCATTGTCCACTTTTTGTTTCTGCAGGAAACAGGTTTCTGCAGGACATAAAGTGATTTTTAAAGTTCAAAAGCAAATATTTCATTTAATATATCTTGTAAATGTCCACTTCTAATTGTTTCAATTTAGAAACAATTTTTGTTCTTATCACATTTGGGGTCTTAATGAGGTTTCCAATTCACATTAATTGAACCAGAATCAACACAGTTCTTCAGAAATATTAATTTTGTATCTGTCCAAATATGCATATAAGCAGGCAGCATACACTCTGCTTCATCTTCTTTAAAGGAGATATTCAACGCAGTTGCTTGTATTAGTAATCCTTTTCATGTGGGCAAGATATTCTATCCCAGCATGAAATCCTGAATTAGTGTAGTGCTAGAACTCCCCATATTGTTTTTTAATTTAAAAAATTCAATTTCAGGAAACCTCCAGGAGTATAGTTTGGTCAATTTTGCTTTTTGGGGCATGGGGAGGTGATATTGCTCAATTTATAGCAGACTGGAGTAGGTGGTGAAGGTCAACCTGTGGTTCCCAGACATTTCTCCATAATCAGCTGTGCAGCAGAGCTTCAGAGGTGCTCTCATGCTTCCATCCAAGGATAGACTGCATTTTCCTATCAAACAACCAAGCCAATTTAATCATTTCTTTAGGTAAAACTAGATGCTCAAGCCCTGCACATCCACTAACCCCAGGCATGTAGCCGGGGGGGGGGGGCTCGGGGGGCTTCAGCCCCCCCCCCCGAAATTCTCATGGTGGTTCGCAAAAAGGCCTTACTGGTGCATTATTTAAACTGTTATGTTTATTCATATCATGATCTGATCACCATACTCAATATATCCCATATGCATGGGGGTATTGGGGTAATGATACAAAAGGTTTGCTAGGCTAGACCCTCTTTCACTCAGACTCAGCCCCCCCGAAACTCAGCCCCCCCGAAACCCCCCCTGAAAATTTTTTTAGCCCCCCCCCCGAAACGAAATCCTGGCTACGGGCCTGACTAACCCCATTAGATAATCTTCATGCATCCCAGAACTTTTCCAAGAAGTAAAATGTGACTGCAAGATTATCTTTAAAGTTCACTGTCTGTAGGGTTTGCATATCCTTTTTTCACAGTTAATATTACAACAGAAGCTGCATCTACATTGCTCAATATCCCAGGATCTGATCCCAGATTATCTGCATATTTCAAATTCATCTATCCAGTTCAAAGCAGATAATTTGGGATCAGATTCTGGGATACAGGCCAGTGTAGACCCAGCCAGAGAGACCGATACAATTGTGCATTAGCCTGCCACTGTAGGGTACTTGCCTGTGAGTGTCCTTTGTTGCTTAGTAAGTGTTTGAGAACAGTTAACATGCGGTATCTGGTATGAACAGACAGCATATACTCAGATTCAGCTTCTTTAAAGTAACTAGGGCCCTTTCTACACTGCCATATAAAATCAAGATTATCTGCCTTGAACTGGATTATATAGCAGTGTAGACTTATATAATCCAGTTCAAAGCAGATAATGTGGATTATCAGGTTTGATAATCTGGATTATATGACAATGTAGAAGGGGCTGTGATTACTTACTTGACCAAGTTGAACATCCCTTATTCAGAATTCTGAAGTCAGAAATACTTGAAAATCCAGCTAAGATGGTGATACCTTTGCTTTCTGATGGTTCAAGTGAAATTTTGTTTCATGCACAAAATTGTTAAAATATTGTGTATAAAATTACTCTCAAGCTATGTGTATAAAGTCTATAGGAAACATTAATGAATTTCACATTTAGACTGGAGCCCTCAGTGGCACAGTGGGTTAAAGCCCTGTGCCGGCAAGACTGAAGACCGACAGGTCACACGTTCGAATCCGGGGAGAGGCGGATGAGTTCCCTCTATCAGCTCCAGCTCCTCATGCGGGGACATGAGAGAAGCCTCCCACAAGGATGATAAAAACATCAAATCAACCGGGCGTCCCCTGGGCAACGTCCTTGCAGATGGCCAATTCTCTCACACCAGAAGCGACTTGCAGTTTCTCAAGTCGCTCCTGACACGACAAAAAAAAAACCCACACATTTAGACTTGGATCCCATCTCCAAGATGTCTCATTATGTACATATATTCAACTACAGATATTCCAAAATCTGAAAAAAATGAAATCCAAAACACTTCTGGTCCAAAGAAATTTGGAAAAAAGAATAATCAACCTGAACCTCTGTTGCAATGGAAAGTATATTACAGGGAGAAATCCCTCTGAATTGTCCCTCTATCTGTCTGACATGGGTGATTAATTAATAATTACATTACCAGAAGCCACTTCAGAATGTGGTTTGCTATTTTTAGGCAGTGACCAGGATTTTTTGTCTAATACAGAATTTGGTGGTTGAGGGAAATGCCTTAAAATGGCAAATTGTTTGCCTCCCAAGACTTCCTAGAATATGAATTGTCATTTGGGGGCCCAGTATGACCAACTATAGTGGAGAGTCTAAAATTCCAGAGGGACTACATTCTGTCCATTCATGAGAAACAGAAAATGCTCAGAAATTGAATTGAGTAGTTGTATTAGCTCACTCAGCATTGGTTTGTTCCTTGGTACTTTTCTATCTTATGTGCATAGACTGCTGAGTTGTTAAACTAATGAGGGCTATCAAGACAAATCTTGCTGTGCTGTTTTTCAAATTATCATTTATTTACAAAACAAATGGAGACAGTTTTGTGTCCTGCTTGTAAATTTGTTTTAAAGCGGTAAGACAAGAATATGCCCTGATAGCTGTTAGGAAGCATGGCAATTATCAACATGTGTTAATTTTAAAAGCAATTTTAAAATCCTTAAACAACGTTGCTCCAATAGAGGTTGTCTCAGTATCTTGCTTGAGCATTGCAGACTGCATGGGTCAGAAATGCCTGTTAGCAAATTTAGTTTTTGAAATTCTGGAACATATATTTATAGCTTTCTGAGTGGAAGGATACTGCAGTTTTTCAGTAATGTATAAACTTTTAAAATTAAAAGTGATATATTGATTAATCAAAATCAGATTAAAAAAACAATTATAATTATGTTAAAATAAACTATTTATGCATGTATATGCATTAAATTCCTGTTCTATTTTACATTACATTTGTATGAATTACCTAGATTCCAACAGACAATCTTAGCAGAAGGAATCAAAAGATACCTTCAAATTATAATACCTGGAATGTTTGTATTGTGAATTTTCCAAGGTGAAAACATTGTGATAAACTGTGTGTATATGTTTTCCTGAAGTAGAATAATCATTTCTTCAGGACAAATATGTTTAGACCAATTTGAAGTGATAAAAATGTATTTCTTAGAACTGATTCATTAAAAAATTATAGTGAAGGTTGAAAGGGCAGTTCTTTGAGTAATAGATTATTTTGTAAAAATAGTTTTTAGACTTTGTCTGTTGAAGGAATTCCTTGTGTTCTATATAGGATAAATATGCATTGTTAATAATTCCAGGATGTATTTTAAGGTTTCAGATCACATTGTATGCTTACATATTGTTTGTCATAAACTTAATAGACAAATCCTGTACTGGAGAGGGGAAAAAATCAGTAATGCTGGCTTTTGAATGTACAATAAAAAAAATTGTAAACTCGGAAGGTGTTTACACGCAGTCAATATAGAATTTTTAGCTAAAGTGTCCATGACAGATACCTATGCAACCTATATTTAAAATATTCCAATGAGGCGAGAGTCCATCACACTCTGAAATAGTCTGGTTTCAATGTCAAAAATGCCCTTACCACAGGAAAGTTCTTAAAAATGTATAGGTAGAATTTCTGTTCATATAATTTGAATCTATTGGTCAAGTCCCAACCTTTGGAGCAGCAGAGGTCTCTGGCCTCCATGGAGCCTCTCCTCGTGTCCTCCTGGCACGAGAAAATCATGCCTGAGGAGATGGAAGGGGTGTGTCCCTCTCCCTCTCCTCACATGTCATTTTCTCATGCCAGAAGTATGCGAGGAGAGTCTTCATGGGGGCCAGGACTTTTTCAGTAAATTTAAGGTGGTAAATGGGGGGGGGGGKGTGGTAAATTGGGTGCCCTTCTGCATCTTCGTGGCTCCAGGAGGTCAAAGGTGTGGAATAGATGTGGAGATTTATTTATTTATTTATTTATTTATTTATGTCACACATTTGTACTCCATCCTTCTCACCCCCAAAGGGGGACTCCCAACAGGCAACTATATGATGCCAATACATAAATTATAAAACAGTTACAGTTAAAACAGCAGTTAAAACAAGTGTTAAAACATTCATGTAAACAAGTTCTGCCGGTTCAGATCATAGTCCAAAAGTCAGAGATTGGCCCCCAGCAAACACGTGATGCATCAGGGGAGTCAGTGCCCACAGGCCCAGCACCTCATTATACCTGGATCTTTCATAAAGATCTGGATCCAATGAGGTGTTTAATTAATATGGAGTAAACCAGGGAAACCTTAATTTACTCCACATTAATTTACTTTTTACCGGAGGCATTAGAGGACACTTCTTTTAAATATGTAGAACAGGGGTCCTCAAACTAAGGCCTGGGGGCCGGATGCAGCCCTCCAAGGTCATTTGCTTGGCCCTCGCTCAGGGTCAACCTAAATCTGTAATGACTTGAAAGCACACAACAACAACAACAATCTTATCTCATCAGCCAAAAGCAGGCCCACACTTCCCATTGAAATACTAATAAATTTATATTTGTTAAAATTGTTCTTCATTTTAATTATTGTATTGTTTTTAAGTGGTTTTTGCACTACAAATAAGATATGTGCATTGTGCACTGGAATTCATTCATTTTTTCCCCCCAAATTATAATCTAGCCCTCCAACAGTTTAAGGGACTGTGACCTGGCCCTCTGTTTAAAAAGTTTGAGGACCCCTGATGTAGAGATTCAAAGTCTGTATCATTCTTCTAACTCTTCTCTGGGGAAGATGAATCCCTATTGTGAGTCCGGCCTTTAGTACAGTTTTAGTCTGCATTGGTCCTTGAGAAGGGCTAGTAGCAGTTGCTGCTTCTCATTCTTCTGGATTCTCACATCCTGGGTTTCCTATTTATTAAATACTGGACTTCTCCAGTTAAGAGCATTACAACATGTCTGCTGCTTTTCTTTCCTGTTGATGCTGTTATGGAGATTCCAGTATTTCATATTTCTTGTGCACATCCAACTGTAGTCAGCATTCTTTTGTTTTACTCAAAGCAGCTTAACATAAAAGAATCTGCATACTATTTAAAATATACAGATATGCAAACATTAAAACAAGATTAAATATATACAGTGTTTTTCAGCCCAGATGAACATTCCTGTAACTGCTATCATCTTAATGAGTAATATGCGATAGAAGCCTAGTTTGGTCACTGTCAATATTTATTATCTGAATTGAGTAAACCAGGGAAACCTTTGGACATAATTTTGGGGAAGTTAACTCTATATTACAACAGTAATTGAAGTTTGACTGTCTTCCCTGCACGACTGGAGCATAATCTATGACAGACAACAAGTGTGGGAAGAATTAAACACATTGAAAATAGTTAATTTAGGGTCCTTCCACACAGAATATAACCCAGAATATCAAGACAGATAGTCCACAATATCTGCTTTGAACTGGGTTATCTGAGTCCACACAGCTATATAACCCGATTCAAAGCAGATAGTGTTCAATTTTATACAGCTGTGTGGAAGGGGCCTTATATTAAACATTTGGGCAATTAATTTGAATAATCATTATTATTTTTAGTATGATAGATAATCCTAATTTCTTAGAGGTTTCATGACCTTTACCTGTTGCCTTCTTCCTCTGTTGACTTTTTGCTTTGAATATGGTTAGCTGAAAAGCCATGGTATCATCAGCATTCCAGTCTTATATATGTTAACCTTTTTTTAAAAAAAAAAATCTAAAAATAAAAAAATAGTTATTGGAAAGTGTAAGAATTCAATTGACACAGTCTGAATAGCTCTTGCAACAGGAGATGTGATAGTTAGTAAGGAATGTATTCTTTATCACCTTTTATCTCAAATTCAGTCACCTGCAGACCGATGTAAGAAAATCCATGCTGGAGATGAAGTGATTCAAGTTAACCACCAAACTGTGGTATGTATATTTGAATTCTGTATCACTTGAAGATGAAAGATGACTAGTTTATTAGCAGCATGTTCAATGTATTTATTCACAATTTTGGTAGGATTTGCATGAAAGCTTAAAAATACTATTTTTTGTTATTTTTGCATATTGTAAAAGTAAAGACCGCATGAAAGGAAATGTTTGTAGGACTAACAAGCATTGCAATGCATATACTCCAGGGGCAGGTGTCTGTGCAGGTTCTGGGGGATAATTCTTCCATCCCTGCTCCCCACAGGACGAATTATCTCCTTGGGTGTAACAAAATGCCTCCCTTTCCCTTTAAACACAGCAATTAATTGTATCACTTCCTGTCACATTTTTGGATGGAAATTGAAGGTATACAGAAATATTTCAGGGAGCAGGAGAAGGCATTTTTGTGTATGCGCATGCATGGTGGAGAGCTTTTACAGTGCAGTGAAAATTTCCTTTAACCATAAAGTTTTCGGGGACTGTTTTGGGATTCTAGAGGATGTCTTGTGACTTTTGGGCCACACATTTTCCAACCCAATATATGCTAAATTCTGAATGTAGGTGCTTGAATGTCTGTTATTTTAAAAGCATAAGGGAGTTACTGGAGTCACAGTGATTGCTATATATACAAGGGACTATCTAGGTACAGCAAACTATGTACATAAATAAATAATAAATTAAAAACTCTTGTAGATGCTTGGGGTTTTGTTTTTTGGCCTGAGAAGTGATCTTTTAGGCTAGGAGAATAACATTACTATCAGTTGGTAGACATTGATAAAAACACACACAATTCTCTAAGGAGAGTTGGGGAACCCGCTTCATTGTGGGGCTTTCTCCTGTCTGATAACACCTTTGAGAAGGCTTCAATATTTTGTTTACTTATGCCAGGCTTGCCTGACCTGGCTGTTTCATTTCATACATGTGTATTTGTAAGTTTGAATAAAAAGTATCCTGAAACACGTTGAACAAGTCTTTCTTTTTATGGTGCAGAAACCTATCCCTATTCTTTGAATGTTATTTTTGCCTCTGGTACAAAATTTTCCATTAAAGAAGCAGTGCCAAAGAATACATTTAATATAGCATCCTGATTTAACTCCGGTAGATATAAATAGTTAGAATTCAGGCTTGTGCAATCTATTTTTGCTATTGCTGGTTTTTACAAAAAACAAAACAAAAACCTTGAAGTCCAATAGTGGCTGAGAGACAGCTATAAAATAGTGATTCCCATACTGAACTAACTGCTTAACAGGGGTTCTCAACCTGTGGGTCCCCAGATGTTTTGACCTTCAGCTCCCAGAAATCCTAACAGCTGGTAAACTGGCTGGGATTTCTGGGAGTTGTAGATCAAAACACCTGGAGACCCACAGGTTGAGAACCATTAGCTTAGTATATTCACTGGAGTTATGTATCTGTTATTTCTGTCTCTGGTACCAAATTTTCTGTTCGAGAAGTAATGACAAAGAACATATCTACTTAGTTAACTGAAGTATCCGTGTACCTGCATTTTGAAAAGAGGAAGATGAGGAATACAGCATGGAAAAAATACGTAGTATCAGGAAAGGATTTAAAGTGCTAATAGGAAAGAGATGTTGGGAAAACCTGAGTGACTCTATAGAACTCTTTCAGTATGCGCTAGTGAGTTTGTGATACATGTTCCAGTTAACACACTGTAACACTGCCTGGTCCAATTAATTATGAATTGTTTGTTTAAAAAACCATCTGTGTACAAGTTACCTCTCACTATCCCATATGGATATTTTAATTGGAAACAAAAGCAGTAAAAGCATTAATTTTGGAGAATCAGTACGATTATATATACTGTATTTTCACCCCATATTTTAAGAGAAACAGTATATCTACATGTTAGCAAGGTGTGACGAATATTTTGTGCACTACTATATTTTTTGAGATCTTGTATTGAGCTCTTCTATATTCCCGTAACAATGGAGAGAAATGAGCAAAAGCTGAAAAATTGTGATAACCCTGCAAGGTAGTATGCTCACAGACTTATCTAGAGTAAACTCCACTGAATGTAATGAGACTTACTTCTGAATAGACATGGATAGGTTATACTGAGTCCCTTTGGGGAGAAAGGGTGGGGTATAAATAAAGTATTATTATTATTATTACTTTAAAACTATTTTTCTTTTATGAGGATAGGTGCCTAATGAGGTTTTAATGCCACTGGGGAAATGCCCACTTGAGGTAAAACATTTGGATATATGGTAACTAGATGTATGTCAGAACCAAAGTGGTGAAACGGGGCTTACAGGACTTGAACACAGACAAAATAGGTTGCAAATTAACTAATTGCAGCAGCAAACATAAAGAACACACAATAAATCAATTTTCATCCCACAACACCAATTCACAGAACAAACAATATTCTTCCAGAAAAAAAAGATACACATATGAGGAGCCCAAACTGATAACTTGTATGTGGAGCAGCACAATTTTTGTAGATAGAAAAATCTAGGTTCACAGTCTGGATATAGTTTTCATTTAGGAAGAGCATAGAAAGTTGTCTAATAGTGAGAGAAAGGACTGGTCCCTTCTTTCCAAAGCCAGTATTATCAGATTAGCAGAGGCTTTCTAGGGCTTAAGACAAGGGCTTTCCTAGCCCTGTCTAGAGGTAATGAGGATTTTTTTTCGTTGAAAAGGATGTATTTTATCATTGAAATATAGACTATTAAGGAAGGCTGGAGGGGACTCCTTGCTCGCTATCTTGATTTGGCAGTGTCTAAAGTGAAAATTAGACATGGTGTTAATGTATTTTTAAAAGATTTATTGTATTTTTCAAGGCAAAGGACATTTGCTTGAGATGTAAATACGTGTTAATTTTGAGGATTGTTGCAGGTGAGGGGGCAATTTATTGCTTCCTTCTTCCCTTTCTAAGATAATTAAAGGGTGGGGTAAGCTAAACCGCCCTCCACCCCAGTTGAATGAAATACACACATGTAACATGATGTTTAGTTTGGCATAGTGAGATCATCAGTGTATCATCATAGATCATCACAGTTGGCTGACTTGCAAATGAATTGTATTGACTTTTTATCATTGAGCCTTTGTCACCCCATTTAGTCAGATCTCTCTCTCCTGACAATTTGTTAGACTATCTAGGCTTGGTCGTTGCTGCCCTAGCATCTCTTTTTCTTGGGCTAAATAGCAATACCAGCAATTTTGGGGGACATTACTGGCTAACCCTAACACGTGCTTGCCCCTTTGTTAGACAAATACATGCTTAATTGTCTGCTGTGTGGAGCTCTAGTGTAAATAAATACCTATAATATGGATGCAGTGTCTGCTGATTATTATGCTCCAGGATATCAGACCTGATGTGGTCTGACATCTCCCTGAAAAGCTTAATGCCAACTCCCAGAAAATATTAATGTCCATCAGCCTATTGCCTTTCTGCACAGTAATACTCATGTGTGGGAGACATGCCTTAAGTTTGATGGAGAAGAAAGGATTTCAGCTACTTTGGCCCCATCTACATTCTCCATTTAATGCATTTTGAAGCTAGCTTCAAACTGTAGCAGCCAGACAACAAACACCCACAAAAGCGTGTGAAAGAAAGCCCTTAATGTTGATCAGTGCTCTGTGGTTCTGGTAATCATCATCCGGGCCTTAAACTGGCTCCAAGATTTTCTATGTAATCATTTGCACAGTGAAATCATTTTCTTCAATATTAGACTGCATTGAATGATCGTTGAATGATCTTAGTTAAGACAATTGAGAATATTGTTGGTGTCTGAAACAGAATTGCTAAGTGATATTAATTATGTGGGGAGTTTTGCCTTCTTCTTCCCAGTTCAAGTGGAAGAGGAGTTTCCTTTTGAGTTTGGAGGAATATTCTGAGGCAGGATGACTGGAAGAGTCTAAGGGCCCTTCCGCAGTAGATATATCCCAGAATATCAAGGCAGAAAGTCCCTCAGTATCTGCTTTGAACTTGGTTATCTGAGTCCACACTACCATATATTCCAGTTCAAAACAGATATTGTAGGATTTAATTCAGCTGTGTGGAAGGGACCTAAGAAGAGTCTTGATAACAGAGTTACGTTAAATCCTGTACTGTATTCCATTGTGATGGTGCCAACAAAGCAAAAGAAATGGGTGGTAATTAGTTTTTTTTATTTCATCTCAGGTTTAATGGGATTGTTTTCACTTATACTAGTTCTGTTGCCAAAGCATTATTATACCAACATTTGGAAAATTAGTATTTTAATTAAGCATTCTTCTTCACTGGTACAATGTGATGGGAATATGACAGTGTAATGTTTTGGCAATAGTATGATAGCTGGGACCCTACGCTACGCTGCTTGCACAACACTGGTCTGAATTAGGGGAATGTGTTTGCGAGTGAGCGCACCAAGTTAGAGACACAGCTGCGGCGGAGTCGTTGCAATGGAAGGAAGGATTAAAAGGAAGGGGGAAAGATGACCAATGGAAGGAAGGATTAAAAAAGGAGGGGGAATACTGTTACATTACTTCACCTTATCCTGTCCTTCTTGAGTTAAATTACTTCACTGCTATCCTGTCTCAGCTGTGTCTCTCACTCACTCCGCTGTCTCGCGCACGTGTTCCCTTCATTAATTCCCTTCATTAATGCGTCGAGCACCTAGCATAGGGTCCCAGCTATCATACTATTGTCAATGTTTTGCTCCTGGACCACTGAAAATCATTGGTTGCGTATCTTAATTATACATTGATGCAGGAATTTGATGCTGTTCCTAAGTCTCCTTGGCTTATGTTCTTGTTTTCAATGCCAAAATGTTTATTGCCAATATTCTATTTCTGTTTGCTGTCAGGGGAATGATAGGGTAGCATTTTATCCTTCCATACCAAGGCTCAATTTATTTATAAATTTAGGCACCATGTACAAATTTATTATCTCTGCAAGCTTTCAGAATTACATACATCTTTTACATTACAGTGTGTACTTAACTTTCTTTGATGCTGTCAGAAATATCAGCTTCCCATAGGTTAGAAACTGTAACCAT